CATGTGTATTTTTTTCTATTCCTCTATTTTTGTCAATGATGGTAAAAGGATCTTGATCCAAGGAAATAATTATCCTTCCTTGGATCACACCTAATAACAGCTGACCCTGCTTGATGACCAGGTATATGTAGTATTAGCATTAAAAGTTGAACTACATGAGGTAGGTGTGGAGGGGGGATATGTAACTAAAGTAATTTGACCAAAATCCTATGGATCATTTTCACTTAGTCATGTCAAAAATAAATGGATACTAAGCTTAATCTTTAACTGTCTTTAAATATTGCTCCAAGATGGTTTATAGTTCAGAGATTTGGGGCACGAGGATTAAATTCTCGTGCCCACGTTTTGACTGAAATCCTGTGGGTCTTTTTCAACTTCTGGTAAGTAAAATGAAAATACACCTGGCCAGACAAAATATTGTAAAATTGAAATTTTGTAAATTTTTTTTTTTTTTTGTTTTTTTTATTTAGATTTTTGGGTGGGGAAGAGGAGGGCTTAGGCTCATACATTTTGACAAACTTTCAAGAAGAGCGGAATCTGTGACATCATAAGGAGACGTATCCTTAATATTTTAACTATTATGGTGAGTGTGCAAAAGGAGAGCAGATGATAGTGGGAGAGGCACTGTCAAGAAATTTTAATGAAAATAAGAAAAAATTTTGGAGTGAGTTAAACAAGTTAAGAAAGCCTAGGGAACAAATGGATTTGTCAGTTAAAAACAGAGTAGGGGAGTAGCAGATGGGGAGAGGGAGGTTTTGGGTAGATGGCGAGAATATTTTGAAGAACTTTCAAATGTCGACGAAGAAAGGGAGGCGATAATTTCATGCACTGGACAATGTAGGATTGCGGATGAGCAAGGAGGTTTTAGAGTGGGTAGGGGATGTGTAGATCGTGTTTATATTGAAGCATATATGTGAACAGTATTTAGATAAAGGTAGGAAGTTTTTATTGCATTTATGGATTTAGAAAAGGCATATGATAGTGGATAGGGGAGCAATGTGGCAGATGTTGCAAGTATATGGAATAAGTGGTAAGTTACTAAATGCTGTAAAGAGTTTTTATGAGGATAGTGAGGCTCAGGTTAGGGTGTGTAGAATAGAGGGAGACTACTTCCTGGTAAAAGTAGGTCTAAGGGATGTATAATGTCACCATGGTTGTTTAATATATTTATAGATGGGGTTGTAAAAGAAGTAAATGCTAGGGTGTTCAGGAGAGGGGTGGGATTAAATTATGGGGAATCAAATACAAAATGGGAATTGACAGTTGCTTTTTGCTGATGATACTGTGCTTATGGGAGATTCTAAAGAAAAATTGCGAAGGTTAGTAGACAAGTTTGGGAGTGTGTGTAAAGGTAGAAAGTTGAAAGTGAACACAGAAAAGGGTAAGGTGATGAGTATCAAATGATTTAGATAAAGAAAAATTGGATATCAAATTGGGGAGGAGGAGTATGGAAGAAGTGAATGTTTTCAGATACTTGGGAGTTGATGTGTCGGTGGATGGATTTATGAAGGATGAGGTTAATCATAGAATTGATGAGGGAAAAAAGGTGAGTGGTGCAATGAGGTATGTGGAGACAAAAAACATTATCTATGGAGGCAAAGAAGGGAATGTATGAAAGTAAAGTAGTACCAACACTTACATGGGTGTGAAGCTTGGGTTGTGAATGCAGCAGCGAGGAGGCGGTTGGAGGCAGTGGAGATGTCCTGTCTAAGGGCAATGTGTGGTGTAAATATTATGCAGAAAATTCGGAGTGTGGAAATTAGGAGGTGTGGAGTTAATAAATGTATTAGTCAGAGGGCTGAAGAGGGGGTTGTTGAGGTGGCTTGGTCATTTAGAGAGAATGGATCAAAGTAGAATGACATGGAGAGCATTTAAATCTGTAGGGGAAGGAAGACAGGGTAGGGGTCGTCCTTGAAAAGGTTGGAAGAAAGGGGTAAGGGAGGTTTTGTGGGCGAGGGGCTTGGACTTCGAGCAGGCATGCGCGAGCGTGTTTAATAGGGGTGAATGGAGACAAATGGTATTTGGGGCCTGACGATCTGTTGGAGTGTGAGCAGGGTAATATTTAGTGAAGGGATTCAGGGAAACCGGTTATTTTTATATAGCCGGACTTGAGTCCTGGAAGTGGGAAATACAATGCCTGCACTCTAAAGGAGGGGTTTGAGATATTGACAGTTTGGAGGGATATGTTGTGTATCTTTATACGTATATGCTTCTAAGCTGTTGTGTTCTGAGCACCTCTGCAAAAACAGTGATTATGTGTGAGTGAAGTGAAAGAGTTGAATGATGATGAAAGTATTTTCTTTTTTGGGGATTTTTTCTTTTTTGGGTCACCCTGCCTTGGTGGGAGATGGCTGACTTTAAAAAAAAAAAAAAAAATATGCTCTAAACTGGCTTATATTGACATAAGCTAAACTAAAAGATCTGGGTGTGGGAGGAGAAATCAAGAGATAAATTTAAACAAAATCCTATGGCTTGTTTCCAATTTGTCATACTTTAAGTTAAAACCCCCTGACTGGACACTTTTTTTTTTTTTGTTAATCAAATTTTTTTTATGATCATACAGTACACGTGGTACACAAATTTTCGTGTATGTTTTGCCTAAAAGAAAAGGAGATGTGGAATATTGTTCTGGTCTCCATTTCAAGTTCATCATGGGCCCTTGTAGGGGGAAAATTAAATTTGCTTTTATTTACCTAACAAACCATTCATGTCACTATCTAGGTGAAGTGGGGGTCAAATACACCCCCACCCTTCCCCCCCTCCATGGATTTAGTACTTCCCCATAGCTATAATAATTTAATGTGTGTATATTATAGGGTTTATCTTGCATAATAAACAATATAACAAACTGGAAGGTTGGAGCCATGTCTAATATGCCTAATGACAATGGGAACTATGAATTTCTCATGCTTGCCTTGTTTTATATTAACTCCCTCAAGAGAGGTTCATCATCTGTGAGGGGCTCTTGATAAAGGAATTATTTTATTTTATTTTTTTATTAGCACACTGGCCAATTCCCATCAAGGCAGGGTGGCCTGAAAAAGAAACTTTCACCATCATTCACTCCATCACTGTCTTGCCAGAAGGGTGCTTTACACTACAGTTTTTAAACTGCCACATTACACCAACTAATTTGATTGCCTATTCCACATATACAGTATGGTCCCCCTATGGGTTTGGAATTTACCCCATGTATATATTATATTGTAGTAGGTTGTAGTAGGTTGGTAGACAGCAACCACCCAGGGAAGTACTACCGTCCTGCCAGATGACTGTGAAACAAAAACCTGTAACTGTTTTGCATGATGGTAGGATTGCTGGTTTCTTTTTCTGTCTCATAAACACGCTAAGATAACAGGGATATCTTGCTACTCCTACTTACACTTTGGTCACACTTCACAGACACGCACATGCATATATATATATACATACATCTAGGTTTTTCTCCTTTTTCTAAATAGCTCTTGTTCTTTTTTATTTCTTCTATTGTCCATGGGGAAGTGGAAAAGAATCTTTCCTCCGTAAGCCATGCGTGTCGTATGAGGCGACTAAAATGCGGGAGCAATGGGCTAGTAACCCCTTCTCCTGTATACAATTACTAAAAAGAGAAGAAAAACTTTATAAAACTGGGTTGCTTAAATGTGCGTGGATGTAGTGCGGATGACAAGAAACAGATGATTGCTGATGTTATGAATGAAAAGAAGTTGGATGTCCTGGCCCTAAGCGAAACAAAGCTGAAGGGGGTAGGAGAGTTTCAGTGGGGGGAAATAAATGGGATTAAATCTGGAGTATCTGAGAGAGTTAGAGCAAAGGAAGGGGTAGCAGTAATGTTAAATGATCAGTTATGGAAGGAGAAAAGAGAATATGAATGTGTAAATTCAAGAATTATGTGGATTAAAGTAAAGGTTGGATGCGAGAAGTGGGTCATAATAAGCGTGTATGCACCTGGAGAAGAGAGGAATGCAGAGGAGAGAGAGAGATTTTGGGAGATGTTAAGTGAATGTATAGGAGCCTTTGAACCAAGTGAGAGAGTAATTGTGGTAGGGGACTTGAATGCTAAAGTAGGAGAAACTTTTAGAGAGGGTGTGGTAGGTAAGTTTGGGGTGCCAGGTGTAAATGATAATGGGAGCCCTTTGATTGAACTTTGTATAGAAAGGGGTTTAGTTATAGGTAATACATATTTTAAGAAAAAGAGGATAAATAAGTATACACGATATGATGTAGGGTGAAATGACAGTAGTTTGTTGGATTATGTATTGATAGATAAAAGACTGTTGAGTAGACTTCAGGATGTACATGTTTATAGAGGGGCCACAGATATATCAGATCACTTTCTAGTTGTAGCTACACTGACAGTAAAAGGTAGATGGGATACAAGGAGAATAGAAGCATCAGGGAAGAGAGAGGTGAAGGTTTATAAACTAAAAGAGGAGGCAGTTAGGGTAAGATATAAACAGCTATTGGAGGATAGATGGGCTAATGAGAGCATAGGCAATGGGGTCGAAGAGGTATGGGGTAGGTTTAAAAATGTAGTGTTAGTGTTCAGCAGAAGTTTGTGGTTACAGGAAAGTGGGTGCAGGAGGGAAGAGGAGCGATTGGTGGAATGATGATGTAAAGAGAGTAGTAAGGGAGAAAAAGTTAGCATATGAGAAGTTTTTACAAAGTAGAAGTGATGCAAGGAGGGAAGAGTATATGGAGAAAAAGAGAGAAGTTAAGAGAGTGGTGAAGCAATGTAAAAAGAGAGCAAATGAGAGAGTGGGTGAGATGTTATCAACAAATTTTGTTGAAAATAAGAAAAAGTTTTGGAGTGAGATTAACAAGTTAAGAAAGCCTAGAGAACAAATGGATTTGTCAGTTAAAAATAGGAGAGGAGAGTTATTAAATGGAGAGTTAGAGGTATTGGGAAGATGGAAGGAATTTTTTGAGGAATTGTTAAATGTTGATGAAGATAGGGAAGCTGTGACTTCGTGTATAGGGCAAGGAGGAATAACATCTTGTAGGAGTGGGGGAAGAGCCAGTTGTGAGTGTGGGGGAAGTTCGTGAGGCAGTAGGTAAAATGAAAGGGGGTAAGGCAGCCGGGATTGATGGGATAAAGATAGAAATGTTAAAAGCAGGTGGGGATATAGTTTTGGAGTGGTTGGTACAATTATTTAATAAATGTATGGAAGAGGGTAAGGTACCTAGGGATTGGCAGAGAGCATGCATAGTTCCTTTGTATAAAGGCAAAGGGGATAAAAGAGAGTGCAAAAATTATAGGGGGATAAGTCTGTTGAGTGTACCTGGTAAAGTGTATGGTAGTTATAATTGAAAGAATTAAGAGTAAGACGGAGAATAGGATAGCAGATGAACAAGGAGGCTTTAGGAAAGGTAGGGGGTGTGTGGACCAGCGTTTACAGTGAAACATATAAGTGAACAGTATTTAGATAAGGCTAAAGAGGTCTTTGTGGCATTTATGGATTTGGAAAAGGCGTATGACAGGGTGGATAGGGGGGCAATGTGGCAGATGTTGCAAGTGTATGGTGTAGGAGGTAGGTTACTGAAAGCAGTGAAGAGTTTTTACGAGGATAGTGAGGCTCAAGTTAGAGTATGTAGGAAAGAGGGAAATTTTTCCCAGTAAAAGTAGGCCTTAGACAAGGATGTGTGATGTCACCGTGGTTGTTTAATATATTTATAGATGGGGTTGTAAGAGAAGTAAATGCGAGGGTCTTGGCAAGAGGCGTGGAGTTAAAAGATAAAGAATCACACACAAAGTGGGAGTTGTCACAGCTGCTCTTTGCTGATGACACTGTGCTCTTGGGAGATTCTGAAGAGAAGTTGCAGAGATTGGTGGATGAATTTGGTAGGGTGTGCAAAAGAAGAAAATTAAAGGTGAATACAGGAAAGAGTAAGGTTATGAGGATAACAAAAAGATTAGGTGATGAAAGATTGAATATCAGATTGGAGGGAGAGAGTATGGAGGAGGTGAACGTATTCAGATATTTGGGAGTGGACGTGTCAGCGGATGGGTCTATGAAAGATGAGGTGAATCATAGAATTGATGAGGGAAAAAGAGTGAGTGGTGCACTTAGGAGTCTGTGGAGACAAAGAACTTTGTCCTTGGAGGCAAAGAGGGGAATGTATGAGAGTATAGTTTTACCAACGCTCTTATATGGGTGTGAAGCGTGGGTGATGAATGTTGCAGCAAGGAGAAGGCTGGAGGCAGTGGAGATGTCATGTCTGAGGGCAATGTGTGGTGTGAATATAATGCAGAGAATTCGTAGTTTGGAAGTTAGGAGGAGGTGCGGGATTACCAAAACTGTTGTCCAGAGGGCTGAGGAAGGGTTGTTGAGGTGGTTCGGACATGTAGAGAGAATGGAGCGAAACAGAATGACTTCAAGAGTGTATCAGTCTGTAGTGGAAGGAAGGCGGGGTAGGGGTCGGCCTAGGAAGGGTTGGAGGGAGGGGGTAAAGGAGGTTTTGTGTGTGAGGGGCTTGGACTTCCAGCAGGCATGCGTGAGCGTGTTTGATAGGAGTGAATGGAGACAAATGGTTTTTAATACTTGACGTGCTGTTGGAGTGTGAGCAAAGTAACATTTATGAAGGGATTCAGGGAAACCGGCAGGCCGGACTTGAGTCCTGGAGATGGGAAGTACAGTGCCTGCACTCTGAAGGAGGGGTGTTAATGTTGCAGTTTAAAAACTGTAGTGTAAAGCACCCTTCTGGCAAGACAGTGATGGAGTGAATGATGGTGAAAGTTTTTCTTTTTCGGGCCACCCTGCCTTGGTGGGAATCGGCCGGTGTGATAATAAAAAAATAAATAATATATAAGGATGGGAGGTATCTCAACTCCAGCAGTACAGTAAACCCCCTGATATAGGGAACAGAGGACTTAGTGAAAGCCCCACCTTTGACCCAGATTTTCCTTCTAATTTTTTGACAGCAATAGATTTATTACACAACCTTTGATTATACTTCCTTTAGCACTAATTGCTGCCCTAACTCCTTTTGTTACACTCCCCAACCATGCTAGTTTCAGATCAAGCATATTACATGGCTTTCACTACCCTGAAGCACTGTATGATCCTTTTGGGTTTAGTGCTTATTATAATCAAAACTAATGTTAACGTCTGTTAAAAATGTCAAATAAGAGAGAAAAAATTGTACACAATTTATAAATATACTGCAATCAACATTGAAAATAAGGAAGTTAAAAGTACTGGGATTTTGTTTTAGAAGTCCATTACATTGAGGGTCTACTGATTTATACTTTATTACCAGCACTGTACAACCCTTGTGGGTTCAGCATTTGGTTATGATTAATATAATCTATTATTGAACTTAAATTATAATTACTTTTAGAGCTTTTAAATCCATTGCTTTTTCTTTTTTGCTTTGGCGGCATTAAAAATTCTGAAGTGCTTCAAAAAAATTTTTTTTCCTCCCCTACCTTGACCATCTTTTATAGACCTATAGTTTCAGTAATATGTATACTCTAAACAAATATTATTTTTTCATTGAAATAAAATAAATTTCAAGCCTATAACACTGGCACACACACATGCTGCTAAATATAGATGTTGGGCATTTTTTTCTATAATCTATTAGTGCATTTAGTTTTCTCAAATATCACTTTGCTTTGAATTTTTTATTTTAATCAATGTAGTACAAGTTTCTTAAAATACCACAGTTCATTCCTTATTTTCCAGATCTTGCTGTGACCTCTACAATGATTCACATCAGAAAGTAAATGTCAAATGGGAGAGCTATCACAGCCACTGATTTTTGTATTAAGAGAAAATTCCTCCAATAGCTTTTCTGCTTTCTCCTGTGTAGTATCTTCATTTTCCATAACTATCTTGATTAGCATCGTTGGAGCCAAGACTTTCCAGATATAGCTGAGGCACTGTTGGAAAAAAGTGCTTTAGTGTAAATGCTGCAGTTCATTATAATACAGTGGACCCCCGCATAACGATCACCTCCGAATGCGACCAATTATGTAAGTGCGTTTGTACGTGTATGTTTGGGGGTCTGAAATGGACTAATCTACTTCACAATATTCCTTATGGGAACACATTCGGTCAGTACTGGCACCTGAACATACTTCTGGAGAGAAAAAATATCATTAACCGGGGGTCCACTGTAGTCTCATGCACATCTGCTTCACAATAGAGGGGAAGGGGAGAGAATGATTCACCTTGTCTGTGCAACATGCAGGCACATACACCTGAACACAGTGGGCAAGGGGCAGGGAGAAACCACAATCAAGGGAGACTGGGTCTGTATAGCCCTTGTGGCTTAGCGCTTCTTTTTGATAATAATAATAATAATAAAGGGAGACTGGGGAGATGATGCACAAGGGAGACTGGGGGGAATGAACAAGGAAGACTGGGCGAGGAAAGGGAAAGGGGAAGATAGATAAGCGCACACAGGACAGTGGGAAGGATGAAGATCACACGTGAGGGGGAAAGGAAGGGATTGGCATGTGAGGGACGAGAGGAAAGGGAGAGATCGGCAAAGATGTGAAGGATATTACTCGCAAGTGGAGGGAAGAACATTGTGCGAGAGGGGTAGACTGCTCGTAGAGGAGAGACCTCGTGTAGAGGGAAAGATCTTTAAAGGAGAGATTGAAAGCGCATGTCAGGGAGGAGGGGGATAAGGCACGAGGGAAGGAGAGAGTATGAGCACGAGCACAAATTAGAACATAGGAAAGGCAGATACAGTAACAGATCCTACAGTTCATGTTAGTTGTATACCGAGAAAGAAAAGGAAAGACATTAGATAGTCCTCAGCAAATAACCTTGTAGACTGTAAAGTCTTCTAACAAATTTTTAAAGCCACCCATTTTTTTTTTTCTCCTGTAGAATATTTACTTGAAACACAAAATTACATATCTTTCTGCTTTGGGAAGTCATCTTCAAATGCTTAAATCAACTTTGTAGTGTGTAATTAAAGTGATTTTTTTTTTTTCAACAAGTTGGCTGTCTCCCACCAAGGTAGGGTGACCCAAAAAGAAAGAAAGAAAAAAAAAATCCCCAAAAAGAAAATACTTTCATCATTATTCAACACTTTCACCTCACTCACACAATCAGTTTTTGCAGAGGTGCCCAGAATACAACAGTTTAGAAGTTTCTTTTTTTTTTTTTTTCCTCCTCAAGTCGGTCGTCTCCCACCGAGGCAGGGTGACCCAAAAAAGAAAGAAAATCCCCAAAAAGAAAATACTTTCATCATCATTCAACACTTTCACCACACTCACACATTATCACTGCTTTTGCAGAGGTGCCCAGAATACAACAGTTTAGAAGTATATACGTATAAAAATACATATATCCCTCCAAACTACCAATATCCCAAACCCCTCCTTTAGAGTGCAGGCATTGTACTCCCCATTTCCAGGACTCAAGTCCGGTTATATAAAATAACCGGATTTTTTATGCAATATAATTTAGCCTATCTAATGGAAAACTGTCAACCACAAAAATTCACTGCGCTTAAATTAGGCCTGCTTGTAGCTCTACCTGTAAGCCTGTTCTCCACTAATTTATATCCAATTAAAGGTTAAATCATTATTGTATAAATACTTACCAATGATTGATCACCAATGGCTTTAAGATTTTTAAACTTTTGTGAGAGAAAGTCTACAACACAGTTGATCTGATCTTCGGAATAGGGACCATAAATTAATTCATCAAAAAGTTCTCGCCTTGCTCTTCTGCCTCTCATAAAAATCTACAATAAAAGATAACAAATTTTATAAAATAACATAAAGCATATACATGCACAGGCAACACATTTATTCTATACATAAGTAGCCCATACATAGGATAATGAAACTGTCAACACTTTGGTCAAACTTGGACTATTAACTAGATGTAAATAACCAGTTCAGATAATGGACAGGTTGATTGATGAATTACACACGTACAACATTTTTGGGTATCTTTACTGTGGAAACATTTCACTAGCCAGTGGCTTCCTCACTTCAATAGAGAAGATTGGTTGAAGATTAAAAGTTTAAGGTAACCAGTCCCTTAGTGTGGAATCAGTGTTTAGTCCATCAATCTTGAAAAGTGTAGCATATGCATGGTGAAGGAGCTTTATAGTGCACAGAGGTGAAGTAAAGCAATCATAGGCAGTCAACTTTGACAAATCCACAGGTGAATTTCTACACTTGCCTAACCTATAGGCATGACCTACTTCCACCTATGAATTTGTTCATGGTGGCTCCACCTATGACTGCTTTGCCTTGCCTGTCTGCAGTATATAAGCTGATGCTTGGTGCCTAAGCTGCACTTTTTCCAAGACTGATGGACTAAACACACTAACTCCAGGCTGAGGGCCTGATTACCTCAATCTCTTAAGTCTATCAATCTGCTCTGTACTGGGACTGAGGTAGCCACTGGTTGGCAAAATGTTTCCACACCAACGATACCTAAGTGTCTAATTACAGACACACTGTGATACACCCCTATTACGTAATGGATGAGTGAGTAGGACCTGCCCTAGCATAAGCCAGTAGACCTACTGAACCTCTAACACAGGCCAGTAGGCCTACTACCATGCTCCTCTATTTTTATATAATGAAGTGAGATTTCCGTAGCAGGGTCTAGTAGGCCTTACTGTCATGCTGTCATGCAATGGCCGTTTGCGAACAGAAAGGGGGTGCATTTCTCACTACGTTTTTGAGTAACTGGATGTTGAATGTTTCCAAAATCTATTAAACAGATGTCTGTTAAATCAAGGGTTGACCTTTATCCCATATATAATTTCATTTATTTTTTTGCTAAGAATATCTACCCAATATTCAGTACAGTTCCTTTTCACCTACAAATGGTATTAAACAATGTAGTTGTTTAATTAAGAGAAATAAAATGACACAGCTACAATCCAGTATACACAGTACAGTACATATGTTTAACCCTTTGACTGTTTCGGTTGTATATATGTGTCTTACGAGCCACCGTGTTTGACGTATATATACTCATAAATTCTAGCGGCTTCAAATCAAGCAGGAGAAAGCTGGTAGGCCCACATGTGAGAGAATGGGTCTGTGTGGTCAGTGTGCACCATATAAAAAAAATCCTGGAGCACGCAGTGCATAATGAGAAAAAAAAAACTCCGACCGTTTTTTTTAATTAAAATGCCGACTTTGTGGTCTATTTTCGTATAGTATTTATGGTTGTATTCTCGTTTTCTTGGTCTCATTTGATACAATGGAAAACATATTACAGAAATAGAGGTGATTTTGATTGATTTTACTATAAAAAGAACCTAGAAATGGAGCTCAAAGTAGGGAAAATGTTTGATTTTTGGCAATGTTCAAAAGTAAACAAATGATGCCATTGTCCAATAAATGTCCAACTAGCCATTCTAATATGCAGTCATGAATGGGTTGATGTTATTTATACAGTTATTACAGCATTGCAGTAGTCTGCATAATAGTAAGTCTAATATTTTTTGTTTGAATAAAAATTCAAAATAGAAAGCAAGAGTAATATCAGAAGGGCCTGGAGACGTGACTGATGAACAAAGAAAATGTTATTTTAGAGCCAGGAATGTCTGCATTGTTCATTCTGGACCTTATTTTAAAATTGTCATATTTTTTAATTTTCGTGAAATTGGCCAAATTGCAAATTTCTGACCACATTATTGGGTAGTTGAAATCAGTAAATGGACAGTTTCTTGTACTCAATTGATAGAAAAAATGGAGTTCTAATGAAATAGCTACAAGTTTTGTCAACTGGAACAATGGAATTAGCTGAAAATAGGGCTCAAAGTGGGCGAAATCGCCAATTTGTAAATATCGCCAAGGTCGCTAACTTTGTGAGAGCGTAATTCCGTCAGTTTTCCATCAAATTTCGTTCTTTTGGTGTCATTACAATTGGGAAAAGATTCTCTATCATTTCATATGAAAAAATAATTATTTTTTTTTTGGGGGGGGGGGGGGGGGGGGGGGGGGGAGAAGAGTTTTGCGGCACCAGGAGACACCTCAGGATTGGGGGTTGCGACAGTCAAGGGGTTAACCCTTTGACTGTCGCGGCCGTATATATACGTCTTACGAGGTACCGTGTTTGACGTATATATACTCATAAATTCTAGCGGCTTCAAATCAAGCAGGAGAAAGCTGGTAGGCCCATACGTGAGAGAATGGGTCTGTGTGGTCAGTGTGCACCATATAAAAAATATCCTGGAACACTCAATGCATGAGAAAAAAACTCCGACCGTTTTTTTTTTATTAAAATGCCGACTTTGTGGTCTATTTTCATATAGTATTTATGGTTGTATTCTCGTTTTCTTAGTCTCATTCGATAGAATGGAAAACATAGACATAGAGGTGATATTGATTGATTTTCCTATAAAAAGAACCTAGAAATGGAGCTCAAAGTAGGGGAAATGTTTGATTTTTGCCAATGTTCAAAAGTAAACAAATGATGCCTTTGTCCAATAAATGTCCAACTAGCCATTCTAATATGCAGACATGAATGGGTTGTTATTTATACAATTGTTACAGTATTGCAGTAGTCTGCTGCATAATAATAAGTCTTCTATTTTTTGTTTGAAAAAAATTCAAAATAGAAAGCAAGAGTAATATTAGAGGGGCCTGGAGACATGACTGATGAACAAAGAAAATGTTATTTTAGAGCCAGGAATGCTGCATTTTTTCTTTTTGGACCTTATTTTGAAATTTTATTTTTTGTTTTATGTTTTTGGGCCCAAAATTTGAAAATTTTGCCCACATTATTGGGTAGTTAAAATGGGTTTAAAGGGGGCGTTTCTTAAAACTAAATTTCGATAAAAAAAAAAGGGGGGTTTCTAAAGAAATAGCTATGAGTTTTGGCGGGGAAAACAATGGAATTACCCGAAAATGGGGCTCAAAGGGGGGGGCCCCGAAAAATGGGCCGATTGTTAAACCAGCGGCCGAAGGCCCCCGTTTTTTAACTTCCCGGGGAGGCATTTTTCCCCGTCAGTTTTCCACCCAAAATTTTCTTTTTTTTTTGGTGCCCATTACAATGGGGAAAAAGATTCTCTTTTTTCATAAGAAAAAAAAATTTTTTTTTTTTTTAAAAATTTTTGCGACCCCGGGGAAAACACCTTGGTTTGGGGGGTTTTTTTGGGGGGACAGTAAAAGGGTTTTTAAAATGCGACTGTGGTCTATTTTCGATAGTTATTTATGGTTGTTTTACGTTTTTTGGGTCTCATTTAAACGAAGGGAAAAATTTTTATAGGGGGTGATTTTGTTTGGTTTTACTATGAAAAAAACCCTTGAAAGGGGAGCTAAAATTTGGGGAAATTTTTGGGTTTTTTGCGGATTTTTAAAAAAAGAAAACAAATGAGGTTTTTTCCCTTTAAATGCCCAAGTAGCCATTTAATATGCAGTCATAAATGGGTTGAATTATTTGTCCCAAATTATTACAATTTTGGCAGTAATTGGCAAAAACAGTAAATTTTTTTTTTTTGTTTAAATAAAAATTCAAAATGGGAAAGAAAGAGTAATATCAGAAGGGTGGGGGACGTGACTGTTTGAATAAAAAAAAATGTTTTTTTTAAGCCGGGAAATGTCTGCATTTTTCTTTTCGGGACCTTTTTTTAAAAATTTTCATATTTTTTTTAATTTTCGGGGAAATTTGGCCAAATTGCAAATTTCTGACCCATTTATTGGGTAGTTGAATCAGAAAATTTTTGGACAGTTTTTTGTACCCCAATTGATAGAAAAAAGGGGGGTTCTAATGAAATAGTAAAAGTTTTGAAAAACGGGAACAAGGGAAAATTTAAACCCGGGAAAATGGGGCTCAAAGTGGGGAAATCCCCCGATTTGTAAACAGCGCCGAGGTCGTAACTTTGCGAGGGGCAAAATTTCCCGTCAGTTTTCCATCAAATTTCTTTTTTTTTTGGTGTCTTTTCAATCAAAAAAAAGATTTTTATCTTTTGTCATAAGAAAAAATTTTTTTTTTTTTTTAAATTTTTTGCAAACCGGGGGACCCCCAAGGATTGGAGGTTCCCGGACAGAAAGGGGTTAAAGGGGGAATTAGCTGAATAAGAGGGGTTTACTAAACAAAAGGGGCACTGGGGAAAGGGGGGGTGGGCCCGATCAAGAATTTTTTTTTTAATTAGCCAAAATAATTTACAAAATTTTCTTCTTTAAAAACATTGAGCATTTATGAAATTTCTATTAAAAAAATAATTTGAAGGTATTTTTTAATCTTCAGTTGCCAAAAAAAAAGCTTGGGCATAATTGAGCCTTTTTAAATCTATGATAAGCTATTTTTAGAAATTTATACAGCTGTATCATTGAAAAAACTTGTGTAGTGTGAGAAGGTAGCGCCAAGTGAAACTGACAGAGCGTGTGGCATGGGGGGTCATGCACTTTGCCTACCCAACACATCCAGTATGTAGGAGCAGCCAGGCAAGTATCACAGCCAGCCAACCAATATAATTACAGTAATCTACAGTTCTTGACCAATGTACCAAAAAACACTTTTCACACATGTACAAATTATTTCAACATACTTTTTTTTTCCAAATGTATTAATAATGTTGTGTATGTTTATGCTGGAATTACTGTTATATAGATTAATTGGAGGGAGCAGGTAGTAGGTAATAGTCAGTCATATAGAGGGCCCTGTATAGTGTTAACTTTTATTTGGAGGAGATTGGTCAAAAACTACAGATTCAATATTTAAGATTTGCTGAATGCCAAATTACATGAACGTAGTTGTTTTTTCTTTACTATATGCACTGGAATTCAATTTTTTTTTTATGAATGTGTGGAGACATCTTTGTCAGATTGGGTAAGAACTATGGCTTAAATAGTTATTTGGCCGAGACTCCCATACGGGTATTTCATTCAAGGATTATTTTACGGTCAGCTCTACCCGTCTTCATGGCTGTTGGCAACAGACATGCACCATAACAAATTGCACTCTATTAAACCACTTTTAGGTTTGTGGCCATCTTCTTGCCACCATTGCCATACTCGGGAGACTGTGCTTTCCCGTCTCCGCATCGGCCATACCTGCCTTACCCACGAGTATCTCGTGGAACGACACCCTCTTCCTCTGTGAGGTTTGTTGGGTCCCTATTTCAGTTCACCTTGTGGATTGCCCGATTTACCAACAAGCTCGTAGGATTTACCTACAATGCCACCGCCGCCCTACTGCTCTTACCTTATCTTCCCTCCTTGCACACAGCCCTGCCTTTGACTTGCAATCACCTTTTTGACTGTCAGCAACTGCTTTACTGTATGAACTTTGACATCTAGCCCTTAACATACCTACCAGCCCTTTTCCTCCCTCACCTCTGATTCCCTCTCCACCTAGCTGTTTATAGCCCCAGCTCTATTTTTTGCCCCATAGCGCTGCATGACCCTTGTCGGTTTAGGACTTTGATTATAATAATGTTTATTCTGGTTCTTATTTTGAAATTTGTGTAAAATTGGCCAAATTACCAATTTCTGATCACCTTATTGGGTAGTTGAAATAATTGATTGGGCTATTTCTTGTACTCAATCGATAAAATGGAAGGCATACTGGTGAAATGGCTAAGAATTTGGCAGACTGGAATAATTTTATTGGCCTGAAATAGGACTCGGTGGGCAAAATCGCCAATGCAGAAATATCGTTGACACAGCAAAATTCACGTAAGTATAATTTTGCCAATTTTCCATCTAATATCGCACTGTTTTATTACCTTCAGAAAGATTCTGTACCATTTCATAAGAATTTTTTTTTTTTTAAGATTCTTGGACAGTGCGGAGAAGTTTCAGATCAAGTGTCTGGAAAGTGAAAGGTTTAAATAACTTTTTTAAATAACTTATATAAATTATCCCTCTCTCTCTCCATCTGCTGCCTGCCCCCTAAACATATCCTCTATTTACTACATTGTAGCTCAGTTCTGTTTAATTAACATGTGTATACATTAATAAAACATTGTTCAATACTATTTATTAAAATATTGAACAAATACTCTTAGTTAATCAGAGGTATTCATAAGTCATAATAGTTTGCATCTCCTATTATTATTTATAAAATATATTTAAAGTTCTGAACAAATGATTTACGATTTTTTTTTTTAGAAAAACATTCACAAATGAGATACCTACTGTTACATACAGTATATAACTTAATTATAATTAAACCACTTCATGTGGCTACCCTGATCTAAATGGCACTTTACAAGGTTAGGTAAATATTATCTTTGCTCTATCACACTTAAAATGAATGATTTTCCTGTCATACTCTGTGGTCTAGAAATTAATATGCATAAAGATATTGTTTCCATATTTGAAAATGCAATAATATAAACACTACACACCTGGTGCCTCTCGCTTGGTTCTTGCTCCTTGGTCACTCTTCTCAAATATGGCACAGTTTTTTCTACTCTCTTCTGTAGTTCCTCAATAGTCATATTTTGAAGTCTGTTGTAACTGCTGATTTTTGATGCAAGTGATGGAGAGGTGCACCGTTCCTCATTGGTTACTAAAACAGAATTCTCGTCTAAAAATAAAATAAGGAAAATGAGTAGTTAAAAGTTTACTAAAAATACAATTATACAGTTATATATGGAAGAAATACAAAATAAACCTCCTCAGCATAGTAGAGATTTGCAGAGTTGCAGGACCATTTACGGGTTTAATTTACGCAGATTACAGTAAGCCCCACTTATATGCAGGTTAGGTTCCAGGCTATCTCTGGGAAAAACGCTGCCTTTTTTTTTCCCGAAATTTAA